AACCAAATTTTGTGAACCAGTCAGTAAGGCCCAGCTAGCTGAACTATGTGAACCAGCATAAGTAAGTTCCAGCTAGCTGAACTTTGTGAACCAGTATAAGTAAGTCCCTTCCAGCAAAACTTTGTGAACCAGTATAAATACCCACCTATTGTTTTTTGATTTGCTGGGGTCTATGACAGTAGCATCTTGTGAGAAGCCATTTCCTGTGGCGGTGACGCTGCTGTATTTGTTGGAGCTCAGACTTTTTCTAAGCAGATGTTCTCTCAGCACTTTTAGCCCCTCGTAAAGCACAGCCAGGAAAAATATTGCCACACATGCCCCGCCCATCTCTGCAAGTGTTATTAGCTACGTCATTTACAAATTCAAAATATCTTACTGCATCATAGAAAATTCTCAAGCCAAATACTCTTTTTCCTATTTCCTTAGTTGAAATTACTTCAAATATTGAAAATGGTTTACAAAACTTAACCCTGAGTAATATATGAGTTAAGTATTTTGATTGAAATTCTGTCATTTGATTGTAGAGCACAAGAATACATGGGAAACTTAACAAGACTTACAATTCATATTTTGTCACTTTTCCAAATTTCAACCAGTAAATGTGAGGTTCTCTGCACTTATTTTTATGACAGATATCACAAATTCTTGTCAGTATTTTTTTTATCATTTTTGCGATCATTGCCAATATGTTAAGGGGCCATTAACGAATAATTTTATTTAAACTTCAATGTTATTCTATTGAAAATCAATGAAAATCCAGGAAGAAATCCTCTACGACATGGTAAAGGGATATTGGACTTACCTCCTGCTGTGGAGGTCAGTAATGTTTCAAAGAGAATGTACTCCCCAACCCCTGTGTGGAAATACATTTGCTGTAAAATACAAACATTTCAATTTAGTCAATTTTACAAACAATGTAAACAATCATCACTTGAAACATAGAAAATAAAAAAAGCAACTGATGTAGGAAATAATTTGTCAAATACATTTCTGATTTAGTTTGAATTCGGCCTGTAATTCATTCTTAATAAGTTCGAAACCCATCTGTAATTATCTCTAACTAAGCAGTTTTGACATCTGCCTGTAATTCGCTCTGACTTAGTAAGTCTGACACTCACCTGTTATCAGCTATGACTAAGTAAGTCTGACACTCACCTGTAATTAGCTCTGACTTAGTAAGTC